GAACACTTCCTTGTATCTGAGGCAGGAAACATAGCCTTATATGGTGTTTTTTGGGGTGGTAATTATGCTAATCTCCTCTCCTCGTGCACGAGCAGCTGGATACGAACAGGTGGAATTTACGCAGCTCATTTACGCACTTTTCCTGAAGATAGAAGAGTTTGTTGAATCTGATGTGGCATGTTCGTACGAACAAAAGTAAGAGAAATTTAGGATAAGAATACGAACATGTTCTTGCATGAGGCCCAATGATTACAGTACATTCCTTAAGTTAGAAAACTTTTTCAGGTACACAAGTAAAATTGTGTTCCTGTGAAAAAGGAAGTACAACAATTAGACTGAAAATGAGTGAAAAAAGATCAGCCTTGAAGCTGAATCACTCAAATATTTAGACATAATTAGTGAAAGTCTGGATCCTTGAAAGACATTTAGAAAAGGGTTGGGTGAAGAAGTCGAGTACAAGACTTTTGCACTGTCATTTAAAAACAAACGAACATGACTCAGCACAAAGAGCAGCGTGGTGTTTACAGCCTGTTGTTTCTGACTGCCTGAATGAGAACAGAAACAAACATATGACTGACAGAATGAAGGCAGAGCAGCAGACTTACAGGCACTTCCACATATTTGGCAGCTGCTTTCACCTTTTAGTGCAGCAGGGCAGGAAGCAGGAGGGGAAAAAAAGAAAAGAGCAGAATCAGACTGAAGTTGAGCTGCAAAGATCCAGTTTCAAGTAAATTACAAGCTGCCTTTGTAAGCAGCAAAGCAAAAACATTTCAAGCTTTCTATTTCCAAAAGCGAAGGTGTTACTACTCACTGTGAAAGAGAGGATTGAGGAGAAGAATGTGCCTTCATCGTATCGGGAGAGTTTGGAGAGGACACCATCTAAAACAACAGCAAACTGCAGAAAAACAGGAAAAGACAGAAAGCTGTTATTGTGCAGACTCATGCATGGAAGGCAGAACTAAACCTGCTTGATTCTTATTGTCTGAATAAACGTCTCCAACAGCTTCTCACTGAGCTTCTTCATTATGATCCTGTAGCTTATTTCAGGTCTGCTGTGCCTGTTGCCCTCTGACACTGCTTTGGTTTTGTTCTTGGAGGGGAAGAGGTTGGAATAGAAGAAACTGATCCAGTGGACAGTTGTGCTTCACATGTGCCTCATGTATAAATGGTGCGTATGCATAAAAAGTTGCATGCGCCAGGATTCACGCACACAACGGTATGTATCAAAACCAACATTGTGTGAGAGTGTGGGAAATGTGCAACAATGAAACTGAACCTTGTTTAACCTCAGACAAGAAAGTCCACTGTAAACTTAATTGTATATTAAAGAAGCGTAAAGTTGGAAATGTCTCAGCCTTGTGCGTCGGTGTGCACACACCCACACTATCACTGTGTGACAAACACATTTTCACACACCAATACTTATTTAGAATTGTTTCTTTCTCAATCATGTTCCATTTATTCATTATTTTCCTTTTCATTTCTGATCCCGCAGAGAGGAAGACGTAGGAGGCGTGTCAGGGGAGGAGTCTCAGGTGCGCTCAGTTCCACGTCCGTTGGGATGTATGCATGAAAGGAGTGCAGGAACATATGTGTGAACGGTTTAATACATCTGAATATCTCTGTGCGTACGCACTTTTTCACTTTTCTCTGTATGAAAACTTTTAGTGTGAAAGCTGTGACTCTTTTATACATGAGGCCCCAGGAATTTATCTCATTGATTGACTGTAAAGTGTATCACACAGGAGCACAACCATATTGTAGGAGCCAATATTCTGACAGAGTTGTTGAGAATTAAGAACTCATTAAACTAAATGACATTCAGATCAATTTGTGATTTTATGTATTTCTTATATTTCCAGTACATCATTTTTGTTGTTGTTGATGATATTTTGTCTCTATAAATGAAACTACCATGAATATAAAAGCTGTTCATCTTTTTCAAAGGGGCATATACAATAAGATTTTTTTATTCTTTCTGCTTCCTTTCATTTCATTTATGATTTTTTTTTATAGTTTGTAGATTTTTCTTTTGATTGAATGAAAAAAATAAAAGTGGATGAACTGACATGATTTAATTACTCCCCACTTTGTATCACAATTTATTTAATTTAACATTTTTAAAAGATTTGTTTGGCTAGTTTGAGTTTAAATTTGACATATTTAAACATCTATTAGAAAAACATGTTTTGTAAATTTAAAAAAATAGTTAAAATACAATACTAATATTTAAAAATTATGGCACTTTAATACAAACTGTACAGAGTGCAAATAAAAACAATTAAAAAT